AGAATTGGAAAATACAAAACACGTTTAATGTAAAGTAAAGTGTAAAGCAATTAGTCCCTTTGATGAATTTCGATAATGTAATAAGAAAACGAAGATTATCAGAACTATGTGATGATGATATATTAGCGCAATACATTTAGAACAATCTGATGGTTGAAGAAACAAATAGAATCAAGTGACCCAATAAGAGCAGAGGATACACATCCATCATCCTCTATTGTTAAACATGTAATCGAAACAGGCCATGAGACTGATCTTAACTCGGCTTTTGTGTTGTTGTATAAAAGTGTAAAATGGCGTATACTAAGGTTTATTGAAGCCTTAGACATACGAACATTCAAACCCCCTTTGTGTATTCAAAACAGTTTGCTCTCCTTAGACCTACTCTGGTAATATTGGCTTATTATCCAGAGTGATTAGATTTCAAATTGTATTCACATTATTATTATTATTATCCTTGTCTCCTCTTACCCCCATTTCCAGTCTAGTTGACCTTTTATTTTTTTATATATAAATGTTCTTAACAAGTACATTTGTGATCAGATTGTTGCGCTAATATGTCACATAGTTCTAATAATCTTCATCTTCTTATTACACCATCGAAATGTGAAAACAATTTAAAACCTCATAACTCTGGATAGTAGTAAGCCAGTGTTATCAGGATAGTTTTATGGGTGAGAACAAACTGGGTTTTTTTTTGAATACACGAAGAGGGTTTGAATTTTCGTATGTCTAAGGCTTCAATAAACCTTAGTATACGCCATTTTACACTTTTATACAACACCACAAAAGCCGAGTTAAGATCAATCTTTTGACCTGTTTCAATTATGTGTTTGACTAAAGAGGATGATGGATGTTTATCATCTACTCCTATTAGGTTACTTGATTCTATTTGTTTCTTCAACCATTTAGGTACATTTTCACATACCCTAATATTGAGATCATGATAAACACAGTGCAATGTGACGTGATCGTTTTCTTGTTTTTTAGATTTTCGATGAAGCATAAATCTTATTGTTTCCTTGATAATGACCTTTTCTGTGTAATACATCTTGTTAATGACTGATTGAGGCCTTTGTTTCAATAAATGGTTATTTCAATCACCTCTAAATGATAAGATGATGTAGACAAGCTTTATATCTGCCAAAGCTATAGTAGATCGCACTGTGTACAATAAACTATCCATCTATTTATGAATTTATGAGGTTAGTCACTTTCCATTAATATTTTATTTAGTAACTTAACCTCATCATCAATGTCATCATTCCTACCACATAGTTCTGATAATCTTCATCTTCTTAGAACACTAACAAAATATAAAAATGTTTTTTCTAATAGTTAGTTCACTGCTAAATTAAAAGTTCATGACATAGTTCACTTTCAGAAACAAAAACAAAATGGATAAAGTCTAGATGATAAACTACTACAATTAAAAGTAGTCTATTAGTATGGTATGTGAACATCATACTTTCAATAATCTTAGATTTTTTGTCATCCGATAAAAACGTTTATTAATAGAAGGATCTCTATTCATGTTATCATTATTATTGAATATGACAAAACTTAAGATTAAAGTATGTATTGCATAGATTTGATTCTTTCATACAGTTTTATGGGATACAGTGGACATCTAGGATGTAACTGAACGATCTAGACTTTGCAGATGATCTGGCTCTTTTATCTCACGCGCAACAACAAATCCACGAGAAGAGGATCAGTGTGGCGGCAGCCTCAACAGCAGTACGTCTCAACCTACACAAATGGAAAACAAAGATTATCCGATACAACATAACATGCACCAATCAAATCACACTGGATGGAGAAGATTTGGAAGATGTAAAAACCTTCACATATCTGGGTAGCATCATTGATAAACATGGTGGATCTGATGCTGATGTGAAGGCGCGAATCGGTAAAGCAAGAGCAGTATATTTACACTTGAAGAACATCTGGAACTCAACACAACTATCCACAATCAAACACCAAGTCACAATTTTCAATACAAATGTCAATACACTTCTACTGTATGCGACGGAAACATGGAGAATTACCACAACCATCATCCCGAAAATACAAGTGTTTATTAACAGTTGTCTATGCAAAATACTTCAGATTCGTTGGTCAGACACTATCAGAAACAACCTAATATAGGATAGAACAAACCAGATTCTAGTGGAGGAAGAAATCAGGAAGAAGTGATGGAAGTGGATAGGACACATATTGAGGAGAGCACCGAACTGCATCACAAGGTAAGCCCTCACATGGAATCGTCAAGGCTAAATGAGGAGACGAGGAAGACCACAGAACACATTAGTTTGAGAGATGGAGACAGATATGAGAAGAATAAACAAGAATTGAGTATAAGTGGAAAGGAATGTCGAGGACAGAGTGTGTTGTAGAATGCTGGTCGGTGGCCTATGCTCCATTGGGATTAACAGGCGTAAGTAAGTAAGTCATACATTTTTAACAGAGATATGAAAAATATTTGTGTTTATGACTGAGATCATGAACCGATTGATGTCGGACCAACAGTGAAAACCTGGAAGCACTGGACGGCCGTTTCTTCCTATTGTGGGACTCCTCAGCGGTGCACATCCACGATCCCGCTCGCGAGATTCGAACCTAGGGCCTTCAGTCTCGCTTAACCTACTGGACTAGTATTAGTGAATAAATGAACTTCAAATACATTCGTTACGTTTTACATAGTTTTAAGTTGACGTTTACAAGTCACACAGAATTGTTGAAATAAATTTAATTTGGGGAAGAATACACATCTGTCATTGATATAGAGACTATAAGATGTATCATATAATTTGTCGGCTTTTCTACACTTCAAGGTTCAGTTGTTTTAAATAGAAAGTAACGTTAGCCAATATTCAATGAATTAATGTTCACGAACATCATACAACAGGGTAGGTAAAGATATGATTGATATTAAAAACTGTTAGATCCTAGATTTTGGTACTACAAAACTGAATACAGAAGGAGAAGTTAAGATTTATCTTTGAATTAAATTTGACTTTACATGTAAACAGTCCTTTCTGTTTTCAATTGACCTGATGCCAGCAGGTAACAGATACTTATATTAATAAGTGAAAACAACCCGGTTGTAGTCCGCGTCGGTATCATGACTAGTGGTTAGAGATATAGAGTAACGTGATTCAGAATCTTTCTCAACGACTCAGGTGCATTCATTCATCATCATCATAATCATCTTCTTCTTCTTCTTCGACTAGATCCATAGTTTCTGAATTTCTCATAAACTCCTTTTTATTATTTCCCCAACCTGTATTTTCCTCTCAAATTATATCTTGGATGTCTAATTTATTCCGTTACCATTAATACTGTTACTACCTTCACTACTCTGAGATCAATGATTGTATGAAATATACGTATTCGAAATTGATAAAAAAAAAGCGACTCGAGATAAACGAATAGATTGGCCTGTTCGGAAGCTAGAATAAGCTATGTGGTGTTAACATAGCGGCCGACACTACACTGTTACTACCTCTACTACTCTGAGATTTGCCCTGACATTTCATTTAGCTGTGGTGATGGGGTATAGCAATTTGAACAAGCATGCTTATGAGACAGGTTCTGTGTTGCTTATGACGGACTGACTGACTGACTGATGGCTAATTCATCATTCAAATACAGCTGTATAGTACAATATCTTGATTATAAAGCAATGGATTATGTACTCGGTTTGAAGCATATCGCTTGTGATATTACATAACTTGTGAGACCAAACAAGGTGGAGAGATTATGAATCAAATGACATTGATTAAATGCTAAATGCTTTAACCACTGAGCTGCCGTTGTAACATTCATATATTTGTATGCTCTTTAATTTGAAAGTGACATTTTTGCAAGTATTAACAAATGAATGAAACCTGAAACCATATCAATAGTACGATAAACAACTTTATCAGGGTAATATGTTTCAAGACTTTATCGACTCAATTCATTAAAAGGTCCAACCTGAACCCAATTTACACTTCATGTTTTGTTACATGACTAAAATTTCTGAATTGTACACCATAAAGAATTCTTTCTTTTTCAGAACAAATATACCCATATCTACCTTATGAGTCACCGTTTTCAAAAGACCTAGACGGAGTACGCTGAGTTTTAAGCACCTAAACTATATGCAAATAGCTTTCTTTACATACAACAGTTGTCATGTCATGGTATCATAGAAGCAAGAAACTTTAAAGACATGATTTACATAAAAATGATAACAGTTTTTGCAAAAGTTAATGATATATGATGTTATTCTCCCACTAGGTATCAAGCACACATCTGAAAGATACCATTTGGAAGAATGTGAACTATTAAGATTCGTAACATTGTGATTTATTCATATCTTAACTATGAAGTTCTTGCAGAACATAAGATAAATATAACATGATTGAAAGAATGAGGAATTACATTCCAATCACAGAGAATCCAACAATTGCCTCACCCCATCACAGAAGTTCTGTTAAGTATATGAGATTGGAATTAGTTACAACAGTTTCAAACACTTAGGGATGGCTTCTTGTATTTCAGTATAGTAGCCGGCTACCAATAATTGGTTCATACGGCATTTGTTTAGAATCAGGGTTTTCCAACTCCCTTAGTTGAACTTTCCGTGTCAACCAGCGTATATTCACTTTTCGTCCTCTCAATTTCGTAAACAACAGTATTGCCGCGAGAAGGTAGTGAGTAAGACTTCCGTGATAGTGGTTATAGGCACGTGGCAATGTGAGAGTATTCTGTGTGGGAAAGCTGACTCTCCCTACCGTCTGCCGTATCAGGGCCGTACCAAGATTCGAACCCAATACCATACGTTACGAACCCCATCGCATTATCCACTTAACTACTGAGAAGATACAAGCAAACAGTACCAAGTGAATTAACTATTAGTGTATAGATGAACATACATATTAATGTATCTCATATCACTAAAGATCCTTCTTATAGGTAAGTTCATAAAGAAAAAACAAACAAACAATAAGTGAATTAATTAATAAACTTCTTATTTTATTTCATTGAACAAGAATAGAATTAACAATATTCATTGTTACCATGTGTTAGTAGTTAGTTATTAGTAGTGAATAAAACAAGCAACAAAACAACAAAACTGAGCACACAAAAAAAAAAACAACAAATTAGTTCAAATGTCTAGTTATATAATATACCCATATGGGCCAGGGTAATTTTACATTGGTATTCAAAAGAACCAGGCACCATACAGACTTTTACATGACAACTCAAACAGTATAGCTCAATTCTGCATCACAGGAGAACAAGACACTGAATAGGCTTTAACTTTATGTTAGAAAGTCTACAATATTTAAATATAAAATCAATTTAGTCGGTTAATGGTAATTTGAAAGGGAAAAAAAATTAAAATAATACTGATTTGTTTTTTACATTCTAAATCTGTGAAATCATTTTTATAAAAACTGAGATAGTTACTACACAATATATGAAATGTATATGATGTGTTAGTTGCTGGGCAAACTGTACTCTCCCCCCCCCACGAAAGGTAACAGATATATAAGTAAGTAAATAAGTGTAAGAGTTTTATCGATTGTTTGTTTGTTTGTTTTTATACAAAGTATAGATTTATGCAAACAAAAGAAAAACAACAGAGAAATTAACAGAGGTAAATATCTATGGAACAATGGAACATTTTTATGAATTAACTTTACAATATTGATCATGAGAAATGTAAACAATACACTAGATGTAATATGAACGTGTATACAATGAACTCCGCTATAGTAAAAGTGTAGAACTAACCAACAAACAAACAAAACTCTATTGAATAAACTGAGATGCTTATTTGAATTACCATGAAAGAAGAGATATATCTATCTATCTATTCATCTATGAATATATATGTCAAATTCGGTAAGAGAAGAAGAAGAAGAAGAAGAAGAAGAAGAAGAGGAAGAAGATGAAAAAGAAGAAGTTGCTCAACTATCACCAATTCAATTTTAATTCCACTAATTTGAATAAATTTAAAACAATCTCTTCTGTTCATTGTCGTTGCAAACTGTCTCCCACAACAGCAACAACAACAACAACGACAAGAACAGCAAGAAAAAGAAAAAAATAAACATGCTCATCAATATAAAAACTACTTTATAAATATCCAATGAAAAGAAGTAACCATAATCCAATGATGAATAGATAACTTCCAGTTGGTTTTATTCCTTGAAAACAAAACAAAAAGAGAAAGAAAAAGTTTATTCATGGAAAATGAGCATTAAATGATACGTTGTATTTACATGACAAATTGTTGTTGTTGTTGTTGTCTATGTTTTTGATGGAGTTTTGTTCTCTGAGCTGGATAGTTTGATCGTGGAGATTTCAATATTTTTCTGAACGATATCATCAGTACAAACTTCAGGTAGAAGTGAAGTGTTTGAATTTCTTCATATGTAGTATGAAGGACGATGAAAACTCTACGATCAAACCATCCAGTTCAGAGAACAAAACTCTATCAAAATCATTCATCTGAAGTATAAATCTTCTTCATCATCTGAAAATCACATGTTATCTATATGTGTACGTCGAGAAATGGAGACAGACATGAGAAAAATGAACAAAAGTTGGATAGGACTGGAAAGGAAGGCCCAGGACAGAATGGGTTGGAGAATGCTGGTCGGCAGACTATACTACATTGGTAGTGTGTATCTATACTGAGCGGATGTATTTTACTGTTTCAGTCATAAATGTGTACTTTCTTCAAAGTTAAAAAATACTCAGATTGTAAATGTTTGTTAATAGTGAAAATGTTTATTATCAGTTAGTCATTATTGTCGATATAGAACTTGGAATCAATGTCAGTATAACTTATATCAACATACAAAAACAGGGACAAATGGAGAAAATGAATAAGATGAAAATTAAAAAAAAAAGAAAATTCGCCTTCAAGTGGAAATCTGAATACGAGAAATGAAAATGAAAAGTACTAAATGAGACGTTAGAAATGACAACCTGTAGACTACTGAATAGGCATCCAACAATTTTAATGTGTAACTTAAGGTTAAGCGTTCGTGTACGAGACCGAAGATTGTGGGTTCAACTCCCATACGCGGGATCATGAATGCGCACTGCTGAGCAGTCCCATACTAGGACGAAACGGCTGTACAGTGTTTCCAGCTATTCAGTAGTGGTCTAGCATTCAATTACTAAAAATTAGCACAATCTCCACAAACCTCCCATTCTAATAACAATGTCATGTTTGTTTAATCCCTTAACACTGATCGAATTCTATTTGTCAGGTTACAATGCAGACATCAATCTAAATGACTCGAGCTATGTCTCGATTTTAAGTAGTTGATTTATGGTAAATTATATTTCTACACTAGTTCATAACACCAAGTACACATTTTCAGGGAATATTCATGTTTCTCAGAAGCATTATCCTTACATCATATGAATGTTAATGTAGCTAGGCTTTATTAGCATCATGAGAACACGACCCATTAAACTTTCAATTGCATAATAAAGATGTCAAAACTAATGTTTACGATCTGAAGAGTTTAACATATATATACGTTCTATTGTGGGACTCCTCAACAGTGCGCAACCAAGATCGCACCTCTCGAGATTCGAACCCAGGACCTGTCAGTCTCACATGCGAACGTTTAACCTCTAGAATATTCCTCAATTATTACAAAGTATCCCAATTATTTATTCAATGTCACTCGGAACTAGATTTGTTATCTTAGTTCATTAGAGTCATTAGAAATATATTTGCATACTACTTGAGACTTCCAAAATAATCATTAGAATATGCTTTTTGTTACCACGGAGTAAACGTGTTGTTGCTATCATTTTAATAAAACTGTCCTTTTACACAGACTGTTTACAGACTGGTTAAGAATTGGTGACAAATTTATCGTGATTACTTTGAGCACATTCCTGTGATACACCATCATTAAACAATTGATTTGTTTTCTGTATTGGAATAAAATATTTTGAAGTATGTTTTCATTTCTAAGCAAAAATGGATAGTGCCTAGCCATGGAATCAAGTTTGATGTGCCTTTCGTCCTATTTGGGACTCGTAAATTGGCTGTACCTACATCTCAGAATTGATGTTCACTCTGAAAGTCGAACTAAGTACCGTTCGCTTCAAACACATGGGGTTATACACCTAGCTACTGAGTCCAGATATCCAGTTGCTTGTACAATGAGGTGACGTTTAAATCCAATTAGTATTGTTTACTTGAATCTCCCCATTGATGTTTTGCACTGTAATTGATAAGTCTCTTGTAGGCATATGCACATACTGTGCGTATTGCCTCAATGGCGTTTGAAGCGAACGGTACTGGATTCGAGTCTCAGGGTGAACATCAACTCCGAGGTGCAGGTGCATCCAGCTGAAGAGTCCAAAATAGGACGAAGCGTGAGTCCTGTTTTCCACTGTTAGCTACTATCCATCTTCGTTAATAGTGGAAATAATTTATATTTTGTTAGACAGGACATGGACTGATTTCACCATGCTTGAAACGTCTCATTCAAATAAGATGCTCGAAGAAAGTTTTCATCAGTATTATAATTTAATAATGAGGAATGTATTTAAAAAGAAAGTATATTGATCTATTTATAACTCCATGGTGAAAATGATCAAGTTTCAATTATTCATTGAAGGACTAAAAATTGAAGTTTCAATGTAACCCAGCAATCAAGTACACGTCTAGAAACTGTGCTTCTAGAGCTAGCAAAAATAAATAAAAATGCTGAAACAATGTTAGGAGTGCTTAACCCAATAAATGATAATCGAGTTTAAACCAGAAAGTGACCTCTCCAACAACGTGCATTTCAGCGAGCGTTGATGCATCTATTGCAACTCAAATTCACTACTCTTCATTCCAAACGTCAGATTATCTGGCCATCAGCGGAACGCTGTACTTTACAGAGAAAGACTACAAAACATAACTCACCACTAGAACATTCACATGTATCGTTTAATATATCTGTCATGTCTTTCATTTCATGTAACCAAAACGCACAGCGATCACGGTGTAATCCACTGCCGAGTTTAGTCTCATTTTCTAGAATCAAGTGATCAGGGTCGCTTGATATAAATCCATCAGTACGACGAAACAAAGGCCATTCTGGTATAGACACGTGACCATCATCACTTTTAGATGGATGTCTAAAAACGAAAACAAAGTCAAACAAAAGAATTTCAGATATGCGTAAACAATTAATGGAGTTAAAAACAAGATTACAGAGTAAAATAATATCACTTTGTTTTTAAAAATGTGTTCATCATGTCTTAATTTTACAAGATTACCACCAAAATTCTTGAAGATGCATACGATTTTATGTTATGCTATTTTGTTGTGGTAGTTAGAAGAGACATCAGCCTCGTGACTGTGGAGATCTCGGCTTTGATTACGAGATGTTATAATTGTTCTGATAGAAAATCCTTAAACTCAGGGTAAAGAGGTTTAATGGTTTGATTTGTTTATTCTGGTTGTGGTTTTTAGCGAGGCTGTTTTTTACCGGATGAGGTTGATGACCACACGCTAAACACTCTTTCTTTACCCGGACTTGGGACCGGCAGTATCCCTAGAAGTGCTACAGACGGACGATAGGTATCATGTACAAAATATTTGTTGACTGTATATATACTTCTCAGAATTGTGATAGAAGTCTAGATTCATAAAAAATCTTAGGATATGCACATATGGTGAACAAACCAAATCTCTAGACATTGAATTTTCGTCTCAGCAAACAACTACAGTTAGCACATGAGTGATGCCATATTGTCCAGTTAGTGTTTGAAACGCTCATAAACCAGAGTGAACTGTCAACATATACACTTCACCCTACAAAATAACGTGACAAGTTAAACTGGATTGGAATCTCTTCTTGTAGAACAACCATATTTACAACTTTTCATCTATATTTACAGACTGTCGAAGTGATTCAGACAGCATGAATTGGTATCCATGACTCCTGGTCAAGAAAACGATTCCTAGGATCATCATTTGCATTGTTATTTTATAAGTAACTTGAGTGAGATACTAAATCATTGACAATAACATAAAATGCATTGCTGTGAAACATTAATATATCGGCAACATTCAAAAGTAAATCTACCGCGTAAATTATTCGAGAGGAAACAATTTTAGAGTCTGGGATTATTTGTATGCTTAGTGTTGTATAGGAAGACTGTAGGCTGGCCATTGATAATGAACTAAGCACACTACAACTACGTGATACATCATAGTTGGCTTACCCAGTTTTAGCAAAATTAGTCCACATTTTCATCATTCTGGAACTGAATTTCTTTTCAGGATCTGTAAAATTATAAAATTGTTTTGAAAATTCCGGATCATGTGGTATACCAAAAATATATTCAATTTCATAGCCATGCATAACACCTGTCCATGTAGGCATAGGAAGTGATTCAGTACGTTTATTAAAATGATATAGGAATACTTTAGCATCTGGTAGTCTAGCAACTTGTTCAGCAAAATTTAAAGTTGGACAAGCAAAGTCTAAATCACCGGCAAATTTATCTAATCGTCTGAGAAGTTCTTCATCTTTGATGTGTATGGTATCCGGATCATAGTAACCTTGTTTTGGACTGGAAATGAGTGGTAAATTATAATAATATGATGGTAATTTTGCTAGACCAGGTCTCATATGAGATTCTTCTATTATCTGTGTGGCTGTGATCCAATAGAAATCGGCTATTTCTTCTCCCTGTTTAAATGGTTGTTTCTTACCAGCCAATCCTATAGTGTCAGGCATAATAACTGAACCATTTGGGAATAGGAATTGCGTATCTTTTATTGAAATGCCTGGGAGGAGGAAAAACATTGCCTCGTTGGTGTTAACACCAATCAATAATTCTGGTTTATCTTTTAATGTATTTTTGTCATGAAAAATTTGATCAGGATGTTTCGGCATAAGATGACCATCAATAACTGGTTGCAATGGAACATCGAAATACAATCGAGTACTTGTAGACTGGCTTAATAGGAACGGTTCATGTTGATGATTTTTGGGTCGTAGATATTTTTGAACAGTATCATAACGACGTTTACCAATAGCCACATTTATGCTATCCAGTTGATTAACAAGTGTTAATGGATCCAACTTTCGAAGACATTCCAAACTAGCTTTACGGTCTACAGAAGGCGATTGGCAGCCACATTCCTGAGTGAACTGAAGCAGGAAGGAAAGAAAAAAGGGTTGTGATGCTTTTAAAATTTATCGTACACGTTGATATCTCGACAATATAGAAGCAATGTGGTTGAGGTTAAAGGAATTTTCGTGACCTTATCATGGCCCCAGAAGTCGACTATTATAAAGTCGCATGGATGAGTTCATGTATCGTATGCATTACAATTTCAAAACTGCAGAGCCTCTTTCCAACCTTGAAAAGTTTTTAAATCATGTATGCACTCAAATTTGTTTGGTTTTATATAATATATTCCTACACTTTACTGTTTTCTGATTGGCTGAAATTTCTTAACGTCACTCAAGATTTGCCCAAAGGCCATCCATAAATTATAGTCTCTCCATGAAGTAATTACCTGTGTATCCCAACGAGATATCTATGTAATAGTACGATCTCATATATTTCAAGTTATCTTCATCTGATATGTAGAAACACATATGCAACTTTCTTCATAGAGATGGTAGGTTTTCAAAATAATTACGTTCTATGTATTTACCAACCGAGCCGTCAGTTACAGTTTGATGTAACGCGATACAAACTATATGTATTGTGTAAACCCTGGCTGATGATATTAATGAGTTACTCAAATCACAGTAGATGATGTGTGACTGGAACGGGAGAACATGTGCTCAAAAATTGAGATTTTCGCTATCAACATTCCATCAATTTATTCTTGAACAATGCATCTCGAAAATGACTAGCACATATCATTCAATTCACTGCAACCTAGTTTTCAGGCAATAAAATTTATTCTATTGTATATATTTTCCAAAGAAAATGTAATACTGTTTGAAAATACATTGGTCAGAATAGGCTATCAGATGAGATAAAAGTTAAAACTATTAGTACTTAGAATAAGTGGGATGAAATGAGTAAACAAAAGGATTTGTCATAGTGTCATCAACGAGCTATTTGTAAACACAAGAAATACTATTCGAAGACAACTTTTAGAAGTTGAAAGTTACAAAGGTGTCAATTCATAGTTCAGATAAGAAGTTAAACCTGGTCACGTTTTAATGTTAATTATTTAACTGATACAATAGAGAAAACCATAATGTAAATAATAAATCAAATCTTTTCACATAGGAACTAATCATGGTGAGACAATAATTTGTGGATGACGTTTGAGCGGCACTAGACTGACTTTGAGAGTGTCTACCTCCTCACTGAGGTTATAAAGTAGGTTGAAGAATAAAGATTACAATTCAGAGTTGATGGTTAGGGTCAGGAATCAGATTTACGGTTTTCATCACGAACTGACATCAGCTATAATACCAAAAACTCTGTTTCGCTAAGTGGGTGAATGAGTGAACTTCGCGTCAAAATTTAAGACCTATTATCCTAAATCGGATTGTGATTGTATTTGTCAATGTTTTGTAAACCAATTATTCAATCAAATGTGAACTCGACTTTTAAACTGAATTATACATCTTCGTTTTTTACACAAACTATTTCTATATACATTTCACGAAGCCAATCAGAACTATGGGAAATATCAAACTCAACTCCCCCCCACTCCCCCTCATTCCAGGTAAAATAATGAATAATTTGCCATATATAGTTCATACCATATATTCTATCTCTACTACTGATTAGTAGTATAGACTACTCAAAGAAAAGATACAAATTCAAAGGAAACAAATAGACCACTGTATACCATACAAACATTGTCATTCATGTATATTATATGTTTATCAGATTACTATATCTGCTATCTACAATACACGTTGTTGGTATTACCACAAAACAACCAAGTTCATTTTAATAAATATTATTGATGGTTTTGAGGAAACAGTGTTCTAATAAAGGACTGATTCTCTTCAATATAAGGGGTTTGTATAGATTGTTGGCACTTGAAGTTTACACAACACACACTGACCTTGGTTAAATATTCACTGGGAACCAGAAAGCACTAGGCAGCTATTTCGTCTTTGAATTGAATTTTATTACTAGTGAGGTGAGTGAGATTTGGTTACACTGCTAATAAGTTTTATGCTAAAATGAAACAGCTGATTAGTGTTCCCTCTTATTCCACAATGATCCAAATACAATCCGTGATATCAATTAAAAAGGCATTTGTTAATTCACGTTACATTGACACACACTCAATTCATTATGCGTTTTCCTTGATTGATGGTGACTTCAACTACTTAAAATGATAAAAGAATCGATGTAATACCTGTAAGTCCATTAAAGTTTATCTTGTTCAGCATAACTGTCGTTCATATTAATGATTTTGAAGAAACGTTTTGGTAGTTTTACATAGTTTCACAAAACACTGTAATCAGTCTTGTTTTCTAATGAACAATTGGAACCATGTTATCCGATATTAAATCTACAGTCTAATTTGATATGTTAGAATAATTAACTAATGTCTTTTCGAAACCACCACTTTGTCTACAGTTTCTGTATATGAAACTGTAACTAAGATGATCAGTTTTTTCATGAAGATTTTGTCCACTTTTCTCTTCATGTACTGACTACTTTTAAAGATTGATAATATTCTGTCAACGTTACAAACTGAACAACCGCAGATTAATCATCAACCAGTGAATTGTGTGCAAAAGAATATTCCATTATCATCTGAATAGTTCAGTTGTAGTTATGATGATTGAAATGCTGAGGTGTTTATTCTTTTTTATTCAAAGAAATCACTAGGTCTCTTTCATTTGAAGTATACTTCATTCAATGATCTGGTACAAATTTATGTACTTGATTCTGAATCATCATGTTTCCGTGATGAGTAGCAATAATACCAAGTTCCCTAAAGTCAAGCAAATATCAAGGGATTGCAACTTATGATTCGATAATTCAAAGCTAAGTACTTTAGGAATTCGTATTTACATAATAAGAATCTATCTTCAGAGTTTGATGATTCCTTCTAAGATGAAACCAGTGTTCGATGTCATAATTTGATAATGAGAGAAATCTATGAACTCCATAATGTGACTTTGAAGTTTCCATTTAACTGTAACACACTTTAAGACAATATATTACAGATCATGGAGCTTCATTGATCCCTAAATTAATGGATATATATATATGTGTGTATATCGAAATTAGTTTATATGGTCACAAATACATCAGTATTACATTACTGAATTACTTAATTACTTATTAGATTGTAACTAAAATCTGTGTCGTATAATAAATAACTAACACTTTACATTTATAGGATAGGAGTTACTTACTAAAGTTCATTCATTAATGGAGTTGTAATGAAAGTACCACACACACACACACTCTCTCTCTCTCTCTCTCTCTCTCTGTTGTGCATTACAAAGGTAGCAAACACATTAGTAATATGGCAAATATACAAAATCAGTGTGATTGTGTATTGTAGAATCATTTAGAATAAATTAAATGATGTGGTTTCTTAGTACCAATGTGGTTGATTGGGTGTTTGTTTGTTGAAAGAATTTCAGCTTAATGTATGTATGTAGGAAAATAGTTCATCAGTAAAACTTTATACTGGAATGAAAGAGTGAAACATTTAATTGTTTTTTCAATCAATGCTAATTGACTGAAACTTTGTTACGATCACTACAACAGAGGAATCTGTTACAAGATTGATTCCGAATGAACTTGATAAATATGATATAGTTCATTTTACGAAGATTATGTGACAGACTGAGTTAGAGAATGCTGTTCGGCGGCCTATTCTTCATTGGAGGTACTTCGCTTGGAAATGAAAATCGGTAATGTGAAGAAAAACAACAACGGAACTATTATATACGTAAGGAATAAATTTAAAAGTTCATTGTTACACTATTCAAGCTTTTTAAATGATTTTTCGTTTTCATAATTGAAATCACCAGTCGAACTAATCTATACCACCATTGAAAACCTGGAACCATTGGACGACCATTTTGTTTGAGTATAGGCCTCCACAATAATGTATATATATTAGAGTTGTTGAGCTAAATGGTTAAATTGTAAATGGCCCACATTCAAATTCTTGTTAAAAGCTGCTAACCTTCTTATTCTTCATTTCTTTAAACTCGGTTTTAATGAATAAGTGTCAACATTTCAAGAAATGAACTTCATAATTAAGAAATTTTGTCTAAATTTGATCGAATAGTTTCATAGTACTTGGGCGCCGAGTTGATGTGAGACGTTAAAGAGGAAGAATATGTTACCCCTACTGATACGAGTCAACCTATGTTCACTAGTGACTGGCTTCAAGAGGTATATCCTGGAGTTCTAATGGGAAGCAGTGACCAGTGGTGTTCAATCGGGTCTGTTGTGATAGTAACTCCCTGAATGCAGTGGTGGATGTGTCGCTCAATTTCGTGGATTGGTTGAAGTTGCACATTAACACCGTTGGATGCCGGCCGACTCAGTGTTCTGCAGGTTAAGCATTCGCGCGCAAGACTGATAGGTCCTAGGTTCGAATCCCGCGAACAGGACTGTGGATGTGTATTGTTTAAGAGTCACACACTAGGACGAAACAACCATCCAGCGCTTCCAGGTTTTCCATAGTGGTCTAGCTCCAAATGACTCATGATCTCAACTATTAGAATTACTATAATATCCACAAAACTCCTTCTGATACTAATCATATGTATATTTCCACTACACATTGCACATGAAATCTAAGTATCTATATAACCAATTAATATTCGAAAGTACCTAAAAAGAACATCATAGATAACGGTAAATGATCACAACTCAGTAATATGTAGTGCTTTCGATATGTTTGTTAAATGTTTTGTATAAAAGTGCAAAATGGCGTATACTAAAGTTCATAAACAAGCATTGAAACCCATTTTTGTTGTCACCCATAAATCTACCCTGATAATATTAGCTTATTATTATTATTATCCAAAGTGATGAGATTTCAAATTGTGTTCACATGATCCTTCTCTTCTCTTACTCTCCATTTCTAGTCTAGTTGACCTTTTTATTCTTCAGATAGAAATATGTCATCAAATTGTTGTTCGAAATATATTGACCTAATCACACAGTTCATTTATTTCTCTAT